AAATCAGGGGAGCGAATCATTGGATCAATAAAGGCAACAAAGTTAAGCCTATGATCACGAATGAGAGAATGACGATGAGCGAGAGTAGCCCTATTAGCCAGGCCCCGGCTATTCCAAGTTATGTGTAAGGCCCCGTTTGTTTATGGATGATTTTGTAATTATTTGTTATACTTATTATTGCTTATTTAATTTTTATTATTATTGATTGTCTAAATATTATTAATTGGTTAAATGCCTAATTGCTAATTTTGTTATTATTATTATTATTATTATTATTATTATTATTATTATTATTATTATTATTATTATTATTATTAATATGTCTAATTGTTTAAATGCCTATTATTATTAAATAAATATTATTGTTATTTATATTAAACGTCTAAATTGCCTAACTATGTGTATGTGATTAAATGTTTAATATTAATAAATATTGTTTGTGTGTATTATATATATATATTTATATCTCGTTTTATTTTTTTAATTATCGAACGTTCGTGTCGGGCCTCGATTATTTATTATTGTTGGACCGAGAGAGAACTCCGTGCGCGCTGCACCGTGTACCCACACTCGAACCAACCTTTTGACTAATATTTAATCGGCCCAATATATTAGATACTGCCCAGATTTTCAATTGTTAATAACTCAATTTAGGTAACATTTGTTTTAGCATTCTCTTTCCTTTTTGCCGGCCATCAATTCTCCCCAATTATGCCATTGATGCATTTATATTTTAGTATATCTAATCTCCATTTACACTTTGATTTTTTCTTTCCCTTCAAGATGAGACTTTTTTTATTCCCACGTTTCTCCTCTAATAATCAACGCTGAATATTAGCATGGGAATACCAGCAAAATCGGAGGTAATTTCGCTCCCCCGATCCCTCTTTCTCTCGCTATTTCACGTGAGGAAGAGATTTATCTCCTCTCTCGATCACGAACCAGAAGAACCTTGATCTCCATCTCTCTCCCGGTAGTTTTTTAAAAAAAAAGGAAGAAGAAATCTGGTCGATCGTCGTCTCCGTTGAAGGTCCCGCAAACCTGTCCAGCGATCCTTACCGGCGGCATACTTTCCTCAGGCCACCGTTAGCGACGCTCCCATCGTTGCAGCTCCTCACATCCACCATCTCATAAGAAATCATCATCCCCTCTGTTCGTCGTGACCAGGCCCCGCGAGTTGATTCCAGGCGTGAGTTCCGTCGCCATCGCTGCCCCTCTTTCGGACCAGCAGCACCGCACGTACCCCCGGCGAACCATTCCACGATCGCAAGAGCACCGGCGACACGGATTGTCCCTGTTCACTCCCTGCAAGTTGTTGTCCGTCACCGTCGGGTCCCATTCATCGCTCCAGGCCCTGCTGATCACTCGCACATCACTCGAGCAAGCCGAAGCTTAGCCGTCGAGCCCCGTCGGCGCATTCGTATAGCTCACTTCATCCCCATTTCGATTCTTTCGTTCGAACGTTTCTGAGAACAGTACCGAAATTCGATTTCCTTTTCGTTTTTCATGTGTTTCGGGCTTTGGAAATATCTCATTGTTAGAATTCATATTTTAATTGTTATATGTGTTTATTGCATGGTTAATTGTTGATTTTAATATGTGATTGTGTTGTTGTGATATATTACATGTTAATTGCTAAACGTATGAATGATGAAGTTGAGTACATGCCTTGGGTGTTTTTATCGAGCCGTATTATGAATTTATATGCGTTTTGGATATCAAAGTGATTGCCGTCACTTTGGTTGTTATCGAACTGAGTTTCGAGTGGCATTTTTTCGTGGAAATCCTGGAGTTATAGTTACTTGGAGTTGTCCTTGAGTTATTGGTTTTCATTTGGGGTCGTTTCGATATGTATATGCCGAGTTATGAATTTTCTAAACCGAGTATGCTTCTGAATCGTAATTAATTCATGATAAATAGTGTGATTGTCCGAATGCCGTGAACTTTTATATGTGTTGTCATGGGATGACTATGTAAGTCGTGTAAAATTTTCAACTCAAAACTCCATCTGTAGCTATTTTAATTAATTAAATCGGTTTTTGGTCAGAATCTTGTAAAATTCATCTAAAATCGTACACTAGGTATTTTGAGCTGAAACTTTGAGAAGTATGTTATTTTGTGGTATTCTATGTTGTGTCAAAATTGTGGATTAAAATGCAAAGTGTAGCTATATGAACTATTAAACGTTGGATTTTGGCACTGGGCTGAAACTTTGTGAGATTATGTGTTTTTGTATTCCTTGTGATGTGGTAAAGTTTAATGTTTATTGGTTGAGTCTAACTCTGGATTCTGAATTTTGTTAATTTTGGAGTCTTAATGCTCGGTTATCCGTTGTTTAGGTTCGGATTGGATTTTATTGATGTTGGCATGAGTTATGTGTATTACCTGAGGTATAAGAGTTGTGTTCAAGTCTAGTAGTCACTCCATTGTACGTAACTCGATCAAGGAATCCACGAGTCACTTAGTCGATATGATTTCGACTAAGTATATGTGCTATGTATGTTGTCTTGTATTGGATAGTCAATTGATAGGCTATTATAATTGTTGTCGGTTCATCGAGCTGAAATTTTGCCATTATTCCTTCAACCCTGTGTTTGGAAATATCTCGGTATCCAGGTGGGTCTTATTTAAATTGTTATGCCGTAAATAATTTATTTGTTGTTGGGTTGGTATGATCACTGCTTGCATGTGAATTTGTGTAACCTTCATTGTGAGCTGTATGTCCTTCGAACGGTTGTCCCCGTCGTTGAGAGCTGTATGTCCTTCGACGGTGCCCTTGTGTGGCAATCTCCCTAAGTCTTAATAATAGGCCATACCGTTGAGAGCTGTATGTCCTTCGGTATGCACTCCCATTGTTGAGAGTTGTATGTCCTTCAATGGCTAATGACAGATGTGCACATGAGTGAGGTTATTGGTGTATTGATTGGAGATGTGACATGATGAATTAATTTATGATCATGCTGTGACCATACCCTTGCTATATTATGTTGTTATTTACGTGCATAGTGGTGAGCACAACAGTTCATCGTGCTCACTCCCACCTGCTCTTCACTGATGCAGGTTAAGTAGGTGTCGGCTGACGAGACAGAGACGAGTGGTGTTGGTCTTTTACTGACTTCATTTAGTTTATTCTGCATGCTAGTAGACTTGGATTTATTTATGCTTATTTATGACTTTGGAACTTTGAATTGGGAGATGTTCCCTTATGAACAATTTAGATGAAACTGTGATTTATGAAAACAATGGATTTATGATTTATGAATTATGCAAGTGTGATTTATGTTATTATGTGATTTAGTTCGAGTAGCGCCACTGATTTATGTAAAGGTTTTAAAAAAAATTTAAGTTGACTTTTTAAAAATCCTTTGACTTTCGTAAAATAAAAGTGGGGCGTTACATTATGGATGTGATAGACATATCAACGGTCGCAAGAGCCACCAGACGTGGTCCGCCTATGGCGAGGCTGGGTCGAGCCACCTGAAGAAGGGGGGAGGTGGCGAAAGGATCGAAGACCAGGGGAGATCGTCCGTCGTGTCACGCGCGGTGTGGGTCTGGTCTTCGAGAGGGGACGCCCTCGGTAGGTGCTCGTAGCCTGCGAGTCATCTGGCTGAGCAATCGGACCCAGGACGACACTAGGGACCTGCACCATCTCCGGGGTTGTCTCCTGTCTGTCATAGTGGACAAAAGCGTTAGAGGCGAAGCTCTCGCACGAGACGTCATGTTGGGCGCGATTAAGACCGCACATGTCTGCTCAGGAAGAGGAGGAAGAGAAACTCCAGCCGACGGAGCACTCGGGTGCTCGCCGACAGAGCACTCTGGTGCTCTCTGACAGAGCACTCTATAGTTGCTAAGTTAGTAGTTGCTATGTTGGTTCTCTGTAGTTGCTATGTTAGTAGTAGTTAGGTTAGTTTTCTATAGGTGCTAGGTTAGTTGTCTGTAGTTACTAAGAGTTGTCCGCATTTTAAGAGCTGACCTTATTTGATCTGCCCCATATATATATATATATATATATATATATATTTGCTGGCAAAACAATAAAAATCAAAACTAATTAATAAAACTTTAATACTTTATTTTTTCAATTAATGTAGAAACGTTATATTATGCCTTAATAAAGTGTAATAACAATTTTAACCTAATTAATTATATAATATTACAACTAACACTAACTGAATATAATTTTACATTAAATAGTTTGTGGAAGTTACATACTTATAAAAAATTGTATTCCAATTCTTTTTCTTTAAAATACATTTTCTAAAATAAAATATATTTTAAAGACGATTTTATCTAATATTAGTTAATTGGCATGAATATCATAATTAAGCACCTTAAAATCACATAAATAATTACTATAACAATAATAAAAATAATTCAAATATTTTTCAAACTAATTAATTGTCTGGTCCCTCTAAATTACTAAATTATATTGTGCACTAAAATTTATGACATCAATATAAAAATTCATACATAAGTTAAGTAATTTATACTTACATTATACATTTACATATAGTCAAAATTTAAAATTTAGTACACCCATTATCTAATATAAAATCTTATATATTGTATGTATGTTAATAATATATCATTTTTGTTTTTTTTTACATCTAAATACTAGTATAATATAAACGATGATTCGGGTGCTGAAAAGGCCCACTTGAAGGACCCATCTCGTCATGGATACTTTTCTCCTCTTCTTGGCAACTATTTTGTATGTACTCTCTCTCTCTCTTTCTATAGCAATAGCTACATTGTCCCCATATTTTATAATAATAGAATAAGTTATCTATCTACACATTATTATTATTATATTGGTCACACATACATACACACACGCAAATCACCAATAAAGCTCACGAGTTTTTCTTTCTTTATCTATGACGATTCGTAATTCTATGTGGGGTTGACCATTTCTGTTTCCGGGTTTCAGAAAGGAATGGTCTTTTTGGAGGTAATGTGGGCATCGTCTTTTTGTTCTTGAAAAACGAAAACCAGCGGCCATGGATGCTTCTGGGTTGGAGGGTAATGATTCTTCCTTTTTCTTTATTATTATTATTATGTGATATTCTTATTTTAATTTTTATATTATTTCGAGCTGAATATATGTGGGATATTGTTATGTTGTTCTTTGATTCATTGTCGATACTTTTTATGCATATGTTTTTATGTTTTTCTACCTAAAACCAATGGATTTTGCGTTATTGTTGATAATGGGTCGTTAAGTTCATGGTCGATCTGTTTGATAGTATGCTTCACGCGTGAACCAGTGTTTATGGGGTTGGTTAATTTTTTTTTTCTTTTTTTTTTTTCTCTATTTTTCTGATCAAATTGACACACTCGCAAACAGTCCATTATTGCTCTGTTTTTGGTTTATAAGAAAAAAATTTCCTGTTTATTGTTGTTCAGATACTGCATTAGTATTTATGACATTTACCTACTATGAGTGGCTTATTGCTGCCTGAATTAATTCACAGCTGTCATTTTGGTGTTTTTTTGAGAATCTTCAAGAAGGTTACCGAATGATTTCTGGATGCGTAGCTTTTTTTGATTCGAAAAAATCGATTTGTTTCTGCTTAGAACACTGCATTGAATATTCATTTTGTTATTTGTTTTCAGTGTTGGCAAGGATTTTGTTTATGGTGAATAGTTTTTTGTTAGAATTTGGATTACATTTACACAGCATTTGGGTTTTCGTAGACTGACTACATTGCCTTTAATCGGTATTCAAAATTATGGATTTGGGATTTTTGATCGACATTTTGGGAGTTGAATTTTATACTAGCTATTGGAGTATATATATGTTCCATCTTTCACATAAACAAGCTGTTGCTTACTCCGAAGTTATGATATCACCGTGGTTTTTCATCTACATAACTATACCACAAAGGTCTTTTTATAAAACCCCAAGGTTGAAGTATTAGCAAGTGTGTTCTATATATGACTGTAGTATAAATGTGATGAATAAGCATTTCAGACTTGTTCACATTGTTTTCCAAGCTTCTCTGATTCGTTCACGACTTGGTATACTACTACTTGTATCTTGTATGCTTATATTATCTCCCTTTTCTTATTGTATGCTTATATTATCTCCCTTTTCTTATTGTATGCTTATATTATCTCCCTTTTCTTATTCTCATATGAAGTAAGGCAATGGAATTATATGCATCTAAGGACTGAAATGTTATAGGTTTCCATCGTTATTTAGCTGATTGATCTAATCATCTTAGTAAAAGACATGTAATTCCAGAAGGGAAAGATTGTTTCTTTCGTATCTTATTTCTACAGTTCCATTCCTTTTCTCTTTTCCACTTAACATAGTTTTCTTTATACCGGTCATTTTTCTGGATTCCGGAATACTAATTCTTCATTCTTAGGACTTGGCTATCTTCGGAATTTAAATTATATTATTAAATTTGTTTCCCCATTGCCGATTCCCAGCCTTGAGGTTTTGTCCTTTTCCTTCTGTTTTTTTTTTTT